GGTAACCAGTGGGAGACCTGACATTGTCCCCATACCATCTTTACATCACCTCTTGTGGCTCCAGGAAAAAATGGGGCAGGAGGTCTGGAACATGGCCAGAACTGGAGCTTCTGCCATGAAAAGACGCCTGGGTCCCCAGCAGAGACCCACCACCCCAAGTCTAGCGGGTAACCTTGGCCAGTTCCTCATCTGACCTAGGCCTCAGTTTACCCACCTGTATTGTGTTTAGGAGCTGGGGGCAGGGAGAGAGTTGCTGGTCTCTCTGCACCCTTCCTGTTCTGAAAGACTCTCAAGGTTTTTGCCATCTTAAGGAAAGATCAAGGGGTACTGACCCATGTCCTTCAAATTATTCTCCTAGGGCCCAAGGAACAAGCAGCCCCATAAGGCATCACTGGCTCCCCCTGCCCTCACTGGGGCTCTAGGGAGTTATTTGCTGCTGCAGCCTGGTGGGCCCTGGGTCTCTGCCGGGCCACCCACGTGGCAGCCACACAACATGCCACACTGACCTCCAGCTCACCTTTGAGAGTGCCCAGCCCCCTCTGTCAGCAGGGCTCCCTGGCAGAACACACCAAGCTCACACTGGACCTCTGACATCGGGCATTCCCTCCTGACTCCCAGACCCCCTCCCCAGCCTCAGTGCCCACCCCTTCTGTCCCTGGCTTTCTGCCACTCAGGCTGGAGGGGGCGGGGGGTGACAGCTGTGTAAGCGATGGTGACTGCCCCCTTCCTGCCCCTCCCCCTCAGCTGTCTCTCTCTCTCTCTCTCTCATGACAGCTGCCCAAAGGGCCGGGGGCTTAGCCAGCTCCCCCCACATGCAGGGATCAAGTGTCCACCCTGCCTTTGTTCTGGAGCAAGAACAATCCAGGGGAGGGGAGGGTTCCTGGGGCCAGGCGATTCAAGTAGACTGGCCCACCCCTTGGGGGATTCCCTCCGCTCTGCTGGCCAGAATGTCTGGACCAGCTGGGGCCTGTGGACCCACCTGGACTTCACTCTCCATCTCATATACCCCCCATCCCCTCAGCACCCCCAGCTCCCCGCCTAGCAGCCTACTTCTCCTTTCCCAGCCACACTAGCCACACCCAGTGATGCTGGGGAATGGCTCAGAGCATCCTGGGAGGCAGGGTGTGGTGGGGGTGGACCCTTGGCCTGAGCAGGTCTGCACCGAGGACTCCAAACTCTCCTGCCCATCCCCTTCTCCAGGGATGCTCACTCTCCTGACTAGCCAGGCCTTCACAAGAACTGCCCCAGCATCCTCAGACACATGTGCCCAGCCTCTTGGCCTCCCAGCTTCCCAGGATGGCCAACCATCTCCAGCTGGGAGAGGAGAAGAGGAGTAAGGAGCCTCAGGTGAGCATCCTGGGGTCCACAAGCTCCAGCCTCTGGCTTTTTCATTCAGATATGCCACACAGACAAAGTGCCAGGAAGGGAAAGGCAGCTCTGACAAGTTGGCAGGTGCCAGAAATGCTACAGCTTCCTTTACAGCATCATTAGGCAGCCCCCCAGGAGACTTCAGAACCAAGGTAAACCAAGTCAAGCCTGGCTCTGGCTGGGCTCCAGGAGAAAGGCCATGGTCTCATGCTACCCATCCCCTCACTGTCTCATCCACATTGAGAAAGGTCTCTAGCTCCCATTCTCTGTTCTGAAAACTGTATGCTTACTCTCCTGCTCAACAGCTACCCATGGCTCCCCAGTGCCCAAAGAATAAAGCCTGAGCTCCACAGACAGGCCATCAAGGACCGCATGATCCAGCCTCTGCCTCTCTGGTCTCATCTCCACCCCATCCTCCACACATCCCAGGCTGCAGAACACACTTAGCATCTCCAGCCCTTCAGGCCTTTGTCCAGGCTGACCTCAGCTCAAAATGCCCGTCCTCCTCACTCTCTGTCAAAATCCTTCTCAAATGCCACCTCCTCTGTGTAGCCCTCCCCAGGCTTACAAGTCGATGTGATCACTCAGGCCCCTGTGCCCCTCAAAGATGTTGCTGCAACTCAAAGAAGTCCCCATTGGGCATTTCTGAGCCTGTCTTTACATGATACAGAGAGCTCCAGAAAAAGGAAATTTGAGACAGGATCAGGCTCAGTGTGCAGGGAGAAGAGTTGAGGCTCACAGGGCCTGGGGACTTTTGGAACCAAAGATGGTGCTAAGGTTCCCAGAGGAGTAATGAGAGTAGAGTGAGAAGACCCAGACATGAGGGACCAGCCACATGGCAGAGGTAGGACCTGCCTGGACAGGATTCCTGGTTCCTTTCTCAGCATCCCCAGCCCTACTCCTGCTGTTTTACCAGGACTAGGGGCTCCTGAGGTATGCTGCTGGGGTGGGGGATTTGGGCTGTGCTTTAGGTTTTCAGAGGGTGGGAGCAGAGTGCATCTCCTTATGGAAAAAGGGGACTGAAAGAAGAGTTGGGGGTTGGGGTACATTTCACAAGTGGAGTTGGACTCAGCCTGTCACAGCTGGAAAGGCCTCACCGATCACAAGAGAAGCCCGAGGCCCAGAGAGGAACGGAAACGTTTGTAAGGCTACATGGAAGGCAACTGGCAGAGCTGGGAGATCCAAGGAGTCTACCTGTGCAGCTCAGAGCCCTCCTAAAGAGGTCAGCGCCACTGGGCAATGGTGATGGAGGCTGCAGGGACAGCAGTGATGGGAGTAGGGAGGCTGGACAGCCTGTCTGGGGACACAGGGTGGGGCAAACCAGCCTCCTCAGTGGCCTGGGCCTGCCAGGGTGTGTGGGCTGCCTGCTCCCAGCCCCCCACCCTGAGCATGCAAGAAGAACAATCCCCTTGTGTTTGGGCAGCCTGAGCCTGCATGCTGATGAAGGCTAGGGGGTGGGGGCTGGGATGGGGGTGCCCTAGAGGTTGAGGGGGTTCCAGGACCTGGAAAGGCCAGGAGATTTTTCAGATGAGGAAAGCATAGGGTCCCAGGTACTTGTCCTGAGCCAATGAGGGTGACCCAGGGAACAGGGAGGGCAGGAGCTCAGCTCCTAAGGAGTTCATGGGTTCTAAGAGCCTTTGGAAGGAGAAGGAGAGCCCCTGGGAACACATGTCCTGTGGGTTCAGCATGAACATGATCATCCTGGGCTTGGTGGGGAGAAAGGAATGCAACCGGTCCTGGGTGCATCATCTTGGAGACCACCCCCCTGGGTGCTGGGGCCGGGTGGGGCACTGGGTGCCACAGGTCTCAAGATGGCGGGCCAGGGATAGGGGAGCAAGGAGGCGGGCACCTCCCTCTCCTGGCCAGGCAGGCATGAGAGCCAGGCTGAAGTGAGTAGCACAGCCTCCCACCCCCATCCCCCAGGACCCCAGCCAAGAAGCTAGGTCAGAGCTGAAGGGCTGAAGAGCTATGGGGCAGGAGGGACCACTCTGAGCCCCCAGCTGTCATCTCCATACACCCCTGGCCTGGAGGTCTGTCTCTGGCTCACCCAAGGACTGCAGAGGATGGGAAGGGGTGTGTGTCCAGCCAGAAGCTACAGGGGAGTGGCAGATGAGGGCAGAGATGGAGCAGAACTAGAACCCAGAGCAGGCGGCAGAGAGAGGAGCAGGCCCAAAGGATAGAAACAGCGAGTGGGATGGGGGCCTCAAATCTGGGATCTAAGGTCCAGGAAGCCCCTCCCTGGAGCCGGGTGCTCCTCTGGCAGACCAGCGCCCCCAACCTGTGCAGGCCTCAGCCGTATGGGACAGGGAGCGTATTCCTCACAGTCTCGCAGTCTTCCAAACCCGGGACCCCAACCGAGGGATCCGGGCACGGGCTCCCTGCCCCCGGACTAACCCCCAAACTTCGCGGCCCGCCGTGCCCCGCCCGGCCCGCGCCCTACCTCGTTGGGGCTGTCCTGCAGCGGCGGCGGCGGCGGCACGGCGGCTGGGCCGCTCAGTCCCACATTGTCCCCGGGAGAGGCGGCCGCTCACAACTGCGAGTGACATCAGCTGCGAACAATGAGGGGTTTGACAGGCGCGGAGCCCGGCCGGCCCGGAGCCCGGCTCCGCGCCCCCCCCCCCCCCCCGGCCCGCCCGGCCCGGCCCCTCCCCGCCCCCTCCCCGGATCCGATTACAGCGCGGCGGGCCCGCCCCAGCCGCCCCAGTGCCGCAGCCGCCCGCCCCGCCCCGCGCGCCGCGGTGCGCCCCGAGCGGCGGCCGCTTCCGGGAGGGCTCGGGCGACCCTTCCCCTGCCGCTCCCAGAGCCCGGCGGGTTGCGACCACGGGCGTCCGGACTGAAGCGCGGTTCGCAGCCCCTTCCCCGCGCCGCCTGCGCTGCGCCCGGCTCCGAGCCCCTCAGCTCCCGCCAGGCCAGTCCTTCCGGCCCGGGCCGCCAGCCCGACGCCTCTGCCGAGCCCCCTGCACCCTCCATCCCCTCCTCGGCCCCGCCGCCAGCCCCCGCTCCGCTTCGCTCCGGGCCGGGGTCCCTCAGAGCTCCGGCTGCGATCCCGCGCCCCGCCCAGCTCCCGGCTCTGCTCCCTGCGCGCCATCCTCCGCTCGGGCTCGCGCCCACCGAGACCCGCTCCCCTCGGCCACCCACAGCTGCACGGCCCGGCCTTGGTCCGCGCAGGATAGGCTGGAGGAGGGGCCTGAGAGTCGTGTGGCCCTGTGCACCCGGCTCTGTGATAACCCCGAATCTAACCCCGAAATTCCTTTTGGGGCTAGGGTCGCAAGGGACGGGCTCCGTTGAGTCTTTTACTGGGGAAAGGATAGTAGTGGAGGGGGAGCTGAACTGTTCTCAAGTCCCCCGGATCTCCTCCCGCTCGCCGTCGGGGGAGCAACTGTCCTCCCCCTCTCCTCCATAATCGGCTCAGCCTGGTCCCACTGACCTCCACCTCCCCCCGCAGCTGAGTCTCTTGGCACCTGGGTATGTGTGGGTGGGGAGGGGAATCCAATCTCCCTTCCTTTCCATCTGGCCTGGTGGACAAAGGGCAGGGGGACCATCTGGTCCTGCCGGAGTGGGGGAGGGGCCCGCACTGTTGGTCCCAGGGATGGGGGAGGGGCGGCGCTTTTTAGACGCAGGAGCCGGTGAGATCTAATTGCATCACTTTATTTCACCGACCTCCACTCTGGCTCCCACCCCTCAAGCCTCAGAGCAGGAATCAAGCTTCGCTGAGAAGCCTCAGGCTTGGTAGCTTGGGGAGATGCAGAGCACCCAGAAGGAAGGGTAAAAGCAAGGGGACAGAGCGGTGGCCCTCCCTTTCTGGGGGCCACTTCTGGCCTGGGGCCAGCTGAAACCTGTGGCTGAGTAGCTTTCAGGGCTGGCCACACCCTAAGCCTTTCAAAAGGGTCTCCTGCAAGGGCTGACCCATGGGGTCCCCACCTCCCCAGCCATGGTTAGAAGTGCTCATGTGTGCAAGTGCTTCTTTGGAGGCTCAAGTATGCATGTGTTAGGCGAACGTGATAACCACTACACTACGGAAACACCCCCTCAAGTATGCATGTGTATATATGCACAGCTGCACATGAGAAGGTGCATGTGGGTCCAGAGTTACATGTACCTATGCAGCTGCTCTCAAGCGAAGGGTCATATTGGGGAACATGGATGGCTCTAAACATGTAAGCGTGCATGTGGGCATGTATGTATGTGGGGAAGTGGGTGTTGGGGGAACGGCTGGCCTGCAGGGCATTTGCAGAAGGAGGAGGGGTGGCAGGGGAAGGCTGGGAAGGGCAGAGGAAGGAGTAAAAGCTAGGCAGGAAAGTGGAAGAATAGGAGAAGCATAGCTAAAGGATTACCCTCCACCGGATTATGTTCCTTGATTCCTGAGGTTTCTTTCTCTTGATTTTACCTCCTCAGTCTATTACTGCAAAAGAAAGAAACAGAAAAGACAAACAGACTACAAAAGACAAGAACCCAGACATATAGACAGACGCACCTGTTGCATGTGCATGGGCCAGAGCCCATGAGAGAAGAGAGGGCGTGTGGTGTGTGTGTGTGAAAGAGAGAGAGAAGAGAGAGAGAGATCAGAGCAGGCAAGCAGCCCACCCCCTGCAGCAGTGCTGTGCTTCACTCCAGCCCCTGCAGGAAGTCTAGCAGCCCCGTATGCCACTCCTCCGGTTTGTCCAGGTAACAGGGGTGCCCCGCCCCCTTCATGATCAGCACTCGGTGGTTGGGCAGGTGCTTCAGGTGCTCAAAGCTGGTCTGACCCATGGGGTCCTGGTCTCCATATACAATCAGAGCCGGAGTCTGAGAGGAAAGAAGGGTGGGGGGCAGAGTCAACAGGGACCTGCCATGTCAGCTCCAGTCTTCCCCACCACTTCAGTCTCTCCCTGGGACTACCCCATATAAGGGAGAGAGACAAGCTGGCCCACTGCATGGTGGCACAGATTGGTGTTTGCCCCAGTAAACAATTTAGCACAGGGCTCGGCACAGTAGCTTGCTGAGTAAACCAAAAGGGTGGAGTTGGGCGGCCAGCTCCTCCCAGAAGACGCCCCTTGGTTACCCAGCCCCCAGATAAGGAAGGCCCAGGAATGCACCCTTCCTTGCTCCTTGCTCCTGGCAGGGACACCTCAGCCTCCCACACAAGGGTACCTTCACACTGGCATAGTTGGCAGCATTGATTTTGTCAGTGCAGATGGGGGCCACTGGCACATAGCCCCGGAGCTGGGAGCCAGGGGCCGTCAGGAAGGGCAGGGAGTACATGCCACTCAGTGACGGACTGATCACAACTGGGGAGCCCAGCTCCAAGGCATCCACCACAGCTGCCAAGAAGCTCCCAGGAGCCAGCTCCCCAATAGGGGCAGGGGCTGCTGCTTCCTTGGAGTGCCCCAGACCTGCAGGGATCAAAGTGTGGAAAAGACAAGACCAGAGCAGTGAATGGCAAAACAAGGGAGATGGTCCCTCTCTCCAGGAAGCCCTCCTAGATCACTTTCTCTGTGGCCAGGTTCCTATAACATCCAGTGTGCCCACGTTTATTCCTACAGTAGCCTCACTCTATCCTATCTGTGCCAAGCATGAGGCATTTCTCTCCACGTCTGTGCCCGTCTCCCCAGCAGTAAGTGTCCTGGAGAGAATCAAGCTGTGAAGCACAATAAGTCTGGGTCCAGAACCCAATTCTGCATCTCCTGTCTATGTGACCTTGGGTGGGTTCCCTCCGTCCTCTCTCAGCTGCTCAGTTTCCCCGTCTGTTAAAGGGAGAAAACAAAAGTATCTGCCATTTAAGATTACTGTGAAAATTAACTGCGTGAAAAGCAGCTGGCCCTGGATTGGCACAGGAGAGGCTCCTGAAGGATAGTGGCTGAGGGGCAGGTTCTGCACTCATAGCTCCTCCTCCATTCATTCAGTCTTCACCAACAAGATTAGCTCCAGACCTTCACCCTGAAGCTCAAGCCAACTCACTGTTGGCAACAATCCTGCCTGGGCTGGAGGCCTGCCCTTGAGCCCTGTGGAAACCATACCATCCCTAGCATGAGGGGATTGGACCAGCCAGGCTGCCCCTGGCACCAAGGGTTGGGACCCAGCCGTCTGGGTTGACAGGCAGTCTGGGCACTGACCCTACCTCCCCTGGAACCCAGCTCAGGGCTTTGCATGTGGGATCACAACTGGGGGCCTAGCCACCCACCAGGCCCTGCCTCATATCCCAAGGCTTCAGAAGACTCAGGTCTCACTCCTTAGGGCTTTCCAAAAGCCTATGGTTATGACACAGTCAAAATATTTTACTTCCAGTTTGCTGAGCACCCATTACTCTGTGTCAGGTACTAGCCACATACTCACATGGATTAGCTCATTCCGTTCTCATTAGAGCCAGACCCAAACATGAGTGTGGTTTTCTTCCCATTACAGATGAGGAAACAGAGGCTCAGAGACACTGAGACACTGCCCAGGTAACAGTGAGGAGCAGCTGGGTGGTCAGGACCACATGTGGATCAAGACTGCTCAGAGGCCCTTGCAGTGTGATTGACCAAACTCTGTCAAGCTCAGGGCCCAGCCTGGCTGGGTCCTCCCGATCCTATACCCCCCACCTGTGGGTCCCTGATGAGACTCCCCAACCCCTGCCCAGAAGCCTGCCCCTTAAGTACCTGGGAGGTCAATGGCCACAGCCTGGTAGCCAGCCTGGGCCAGCCTGCGCAGTGTACCCAGGTTCTGCCAGGTCTCGGAGGAGAAGCGGATACCATGCAGCAGCAGTACAGAGAAGCGAGCCTGCCCGATGCCAGGCCGGGCCTCTCGGAAGAAGAGACCCTGGCCCTGCACCTGAATGGTGCCCTCACGCTGCTCCACGCTTGCCGCCATGCCTGCCGCTGCTGTGCTGGTGTAGGGCCTGTGATTCAAAGCCATGATGATGAGGGGCCAGAGAACACCCTGCCCAGGAGGAGAAGGGAGGCTGCCAGAGACAGGGTGGGGGTCCCACAGGACCAGCAAGGAAGCCTCCAGGAGGCTTCCAGAACTTTAGGAACATGCTTTGGGCTCAGGAGGATAGATGTTATTTCTGCCCCTGCCATTCACTTTATTGTGTAACCCTGGGCCTCAGCTTCTTGATCTGAAATATGGGAACAATAAAGCCAACCTCAAAAATTAGGAAGTTTACGAAAAAAATCATCAGTGGGGGTGCCTGCTGTAAAAACTCAATATGTGGGGCCCCCATTTCGATTACCATTCTTATTCTCATTGTTATTATCCTTTTCTAGAAATGGGGATAATTCAATAGCACTAGGTCACAGGCAGTTGACAGTATTAAATAAGGCGATGTATGTGCCATGCCTACCATGTAGGAAGGGGTCACTGCTCAATCAGCAGTAAGTACCCACTCTGGTACTTCAACAGTAAGTTACAGGTTTACAGGTCGTGGGTTGGCAACGCAGACCAGAGGGAGCCCAAATTGAGGTAAAAAAAAACCCATTTTCTTTTTCTTTTTTGGAAACTCTTGTTGCCCAGGCTGGAGTGCAGTGGCATGATCTCAGCTCACTGCAACCTCCACCTCCTGGATTCAAGCGATTCTCCTGCCTCAGCTTCCTGAGTAGCTGGGTTTACCATGCCCGGCTAATTTTTGTATTTTTTTTTTTTTTTTTTTTTTTTTTGAGACGGAGTTTCGCTCTTGTTACCCAGGCTGGAGTGCAATGGCACGATCTCGGCTAACCGCAACCTCCGCCTCCTGGGTTCAGGCAATTCTCCTGCCTCAGCCGGGACTACAGGCACGCGCCACCATGCCCAGCTAATTTTTTGTATTTTTAGCAGAGACGGGGTTTCACCATGTTGACCAGGATGGTCTCGATCTCTTGACCTCGTGATCCACCCGCCTCAGCCTCCCAAAGTGCTGGGATTACAGGCGTGAGCCACCGCGCCCGGCTTAATTTTTGTATTTTTAGTAGAGACGGGGTCGCGTCCTGTTGGCCAGGCTGGTCTGGAACTCCTGACTTCAAGTAATCCGCCCACCTTGGCTTCCCAAAATGCTGGGTTTACAGGCGTGAGCCACTGCGCCCAGACTAAAAGCCCATTTTCTTCATCTTTTTTTTTTTTTTTTTTTTTTTTTAAGAGAAGGGATCTTGCTCTGTCGCTCAGGCTGGAATGCAGTGGTGCAATCATGGCTCACTGCAACCTTGACCTTCCTGGGCTCAAGTGATCCTCCAGCCTCAACCCCCAAGAGCTGGAACCACAGGCGCGCGCCTCCACACCTGAAAGCCCATTTCCTAGAGGCGGAAACCGAAGCGCCCATAGTTAAGGCGACCCGCCTGGGACGCAGGGTGCTCAACGCGCTGCCATCTGGGGCCCAACGCGTTGACCTCGCGGTCAGGTTCCTTCCGCGGACCACCGTTCTGGCTTGCTAGGTCTGGAATGGAGCACGGAGAGGGAAGGGTGGCAACCCTGAAGGAGAGGACCCAGGAATCCGAGAAAGGAAGATTTGGGGTAGGTGGGGTTGGGTTTTGACTGGAGAGAAGAAAAAGTCAGGAGCGCAGGGCGGGTACCTGGGGAGCTGCGTGGACTCGAGCAGAAGGGAGGCAGGCGAGTGCTGGCAGTGGACGGGGCCGGAGGAGAAACTCGGGAAGAGGTCGGGCCCTAACCAACGGGGGCGGGGACTGCGTCGTACTCCCGGACGCCCTCTTGTGGCCACAAGCTCGCAGGGTCTATAGTCGCTGCTAAACTGTCGTTCTCACAGCGGCCTCAGTTTCCCCAAGCCTCTCGGTCCCACATGCCCCAAACGCAGTGCTGAGCACGGTCTCGAACTCCTCAGCTACCAGCCCCACAATGACATGGAGCGGTCTGAAGAGGAAAGTCCTTCTGGATAGCATCCTTGCTGCTCTCTTCCTGCTCCCCATCCCCCTCATCCCCCAGCCAGAACTGCCCAGGGCAAGTTGACGGCCTGGCACGGAGTTGTGCGCCTGGCACGGAGTTGAAGCCCGACAGGTTTGAGTGAGGAGCTCCGCCAGTGTCCAGCCAAGTGGCCTTGGTCGTTTTCCCAATGCCTCCGAGCCTGTTTCCTGCCTGTAGAGCGGGTCAGATGTTGCCGACCTCTGCAGGGTACCAATAAGGAGTAAACTCCACGCTCTGCACAGCCTCCCTGTGCTGGGCCCGGTCGCCACGCAGAGCCTTGGGCCTGGGACAGGCCAGACGTTGGTAACGTATCGCCAACCAGGGCAGATGCCAAGAGTAGACCTGAAGGAGCCCAGAGGCCAGCCCAGGCTCTGACCGTGGGTGTGCGTCGGGGCGTGCGTCGGGGCGGGGTGGTGTGGGGTGGAGTGGGTAGAAGTCAGGAAAGTAGCTGGGCCAAGACCTGGAGCTGCTGCATAACAATATCTGGCATTTACACTACGAGGCCTCTGCTCCAGACACCGTTCTGAGGCTTGACCCGTCCCTAAGAACCTAGGACAACCCTGGGCGGTGGGTTTTATCCTTAACTCCATTATACAGGCCAGAGAACTGAGCGAGGGTGGAGACGTTCCGCTGGGAAGAAGCCACCTGGCTCCCCACCGGCCCTCAGGTCAAAAACAATTCCAAAAATCCGGGCGGGCGGTGGGCCAGAGAGAGTTGGGGTTCTGCCCCCAGCATCCACTCGGCGCAGGCGACTCGGCAACTGGGCGGAAGGCCGGCGGCTGCGGAGTGCGCAAGCGCGCCTCGGTGGCCGCGCTCCCGAACGCCTAGAGCGGGAGCGGCCCGCGGAGCCGCGAAGGCAGCCATGGTCGGGGCGCTGTGCGGCTGCTGGTTCCGCCTGGGCGGGGCCCGCCCCCTCCTCCCGCTTGGCCCGGTGAGTGTCCCCGGGAGGGAGGCCGGCCGGTGGCCCGGGGGCGGGCCATCTTTACCCCGCCCCTTGCCCCGGCTCTCCGGGGCAGAGTCCCGCGGAAGAAGCGCGCGCTGGGGCCGCGAGTGTTCGTGTGCGCGCGTGTTATGTGTGCGCGCGTGTTGTGTGCGCGCGCAGGGTCTGCGTGCGTTCTTGAGGGTCTGGGAGTATGTATGTGTACGCTCATGTGCCTGTGTGGTATCCGTCAGGGTGTGTTTCTGCGCGCTTATATTGGGGCGTGTGTTGGTCGATGTCTGCCTGCTTGTGTCAGTGTGGGTCTTCTGAGAGTATTTCTTTGTGCGTGTGACTTTAAGGGTATGTGTCTACCTGTCTGCGTATGTGTGCATTTCTGGGGGTTGGTGAGTGTGTGTGTCTGCCTTCCTGTGCATGTGTCTTTCTTGTGTGTCTTTCTTGTGTGAGAGTGTAGTCTTACGATTGTGCGTATGACAGTGCTTGAGTGCTTGAGTATTTCTGTGGTTTTGAAAGTGTGCGTCTCCATCAGTCTGTCTGCCTTCCTGTTGCCTGACTGCTTAGGTGATTTCGAGGGTATCATTCATTACAAGGGATTGACTGCACACGGGCCAGTGTGTGTGCAAGGAAGCTGCATGTACAAGGAGGCTGCATGTACGTGCAGGGAATAGCTTGTACAAAAGAAAGCGTGTGGGGGCATGACTCGTCTTTGTGTGTGTGTGCACTTGGGTGTCATTCTCCACGCATATTCCAATGACCTAACGCGGGCACCGTTTACCCTGCCCCCGCATATCTCCAAAGGCAGCCGGCTGCAGGTCCGCCACAATTGCCTAGTACTGCTGGCAACCTGGGTTGCCAAGGCAACAACCTAAGCCCCGCCCTTACCTCCTTGGAGAAGCGCGGGGGCGCCCCGGGTGGACAGCAAGGAAAGGTCCCTCACGCTCGGCGGGAACCTGGGCTAACGCCCGTTGGAGATACACATCCGAGGTTGTTCGTGGTCTGGAAGAAAACAGGAACCCGCCCTTCCTCCACTAGGTCCTGGTTTTTCAGAAACACCAGAGAGGCTGCCAACCACAAACCCCCGACCCCGGAGCCTGGGGATGCGGGCTCGGGAAACATCCCCAAAACATCCCGGAGGGATGAGTAGGGCCCAAGACAGGCCCCTGGCTCCTAGCTCGGGCAGGCGCCCAATTGGCATTCAGTAAAGATGTGTTTGCTGGACTCCCCGAACGAAGCAAGCGTGCTTATCCTAGGCCCAAGAAATGACAGGAACAGCCCTCTTCCCGCCCACGGTATTATCTAAATCTCACAGGAAGCTTGGGAGGGTAACCATGAGGTTATCCCATTTTACCGACAAACTGAAGACACATGCCAGGAAGTGGCGGTCTCAAAGGCCTGCCCTATTTGAGTCCTGGGTCCTAAAGGCTGTCTGCTGGGGTGGCACAGACCCCAAACTGAAGGAGTCCATGAAGCAGGTCATTTGGCCGGAAGCTGGCTGTGTGTGGGATGGGGAGTGGCAGGCAGCATTCATCTCTCCAAACTCCACACCGCACTTTTCGTTTCTAGGTGTACCACACTCCTCCCTGGCCCTGCAGCCCCTCACTCCTCAGCATTTTCCTCTATCACAGACATTCTCTGTGAGCCTCTTCAAAACAGCTGGGGTAGACTGTTAGTTATAATGTGATTGTAAAGCACATTCTGATTTTAGCAGTATTAAATGCAGTGAGATGAAAAGCACCATTTCTAAACATGCCCTCAGGTGGGAAGTCCCTCTGCACTTCGTCTTTCTCCTTTGATAGCCCTCACCACTTTTTCCACCAGCAAGGCTCCAGTTCATCCATCACCTCCCAGCTCTACAGGTTCCTCCTTGGCAATCCGAGTGTGGCCTGGTAGTTAGAAGGCCAGTCTTAGGTTCAAACCCCAATGCCCCCACTTGCTACCTGACACTTTGGGCAAGAGAATGTACCTCTCTGAGCCTCTATCTCCTCGCCTATAAGAGACCTATAATCACATCTGCTCCCCAGCATTCTTGGTGGAAAAGAACCTTGTATGTGAAGGGCCATACTCAGGGCCTGCTGTCATAAGCACTCGATGAACCATAGTGGTTTCAACTGATGCCGTGATGGTGGCAGTCACGGAGCATGCTGTGTGCCATGGGACAGCTCACATGCACTTCCTCATACTGTGAAGTATCTGAGCCTTTGCCCTGGCATGTGGAGTAGTTAGGTGTGAAACCCCAGACCTTTTCCCAGAGCAAGGGAAAGGGCAAGGGCTAGAGCTGGGGACTCTGGGTGGGGATTTGGGATGGGGTCCAGGGGCCTTTGTAGGGGTGCAGTCCCAGCCTCTTTTCCCTCTCCTCTACTCCTCCAGACTGTGGTACAGACCTCCATGAGCCGGTCCCAGGTAGCCCTGCTGGGCCTGGGTCTGCTGCTCATGCTCCTACTGTATGTGGGGCTGCCGGGCCCCCTCAAGCAGACTTCTTGGCTCTGGGGAGACCCCAATGTCACAGTCCTGGCTGGTCTCACCCCTGGCAACTCCCCCATCTTTTACCGCGAGGTGCTCCCACTCAACCGGGCACGCAGGTAGGTGCTCTCCCAAGGGTCTAGTGGACAGACTAGGCCCAAGGGGAGTCCCTGTGTCAGACCCCCATTATACTCAGGGTGCTCAGGGCCTGGGAGGGCAATGGGAGAAGGCTAGGAAGAAGAAAGGCAGGCTCCACCAGGTCCTCAGCACACACATTCCCCTGTGTGCCTGCAGGGTGCAGGTGGTGCTGCTTCATGGAAAGGCCTTTAACTCGAACACGTGGGAGCAGCTGGGCACACTGCAGCTGCTGTCGCAGAGGGGCTACCGGGCCGTGGCCCTTGACCTTCCAGGTGAGCACCCCCACCCCTTCATCTAAGGAAGATCTAAGCCCTAAGACCCAGTGTCTGGACAAGCAGTGGCAGGTCACAGCATAAGGTGGCACTATGAAAAAGTCTGTGTTTTTATTTTCTACCACGAAAACTACAGTGTGAATTGTAGGACACAGAGAAAATAGAAATGTGACTCACTTCACAAGCAGTGTACTCTCTTCTTTTTTTCTTTTTTTTTTTTTTTTTTGGGAGAAAAATCTCCCTCTGTTGCCCAGGCTGGAGTCCAATGGCATAATCTCACTGCAACCTCCACCTCCCAGGTTCAAGTGATTCTCCTGCCTCAGCTTCCAAGTAGCTGGGATTACAGGTGCCTGCCACCATGCCTAGCTAATTTTTGTATTTTTAGTAGAGAAGGAGTTTCACCATGCTGGCCAAGCTGGTCTCAAAATCCTGACCTCAGACGATCCAATCACCTCGGCCTCCCAAAATGCTGGGATTACAGGTGTGAACCACTGCACCCAGCCAAGCAGTATACTTTCCATGACAAACTATAAAGCTTTTTGTGTTTTTAAGTACACAAATGATTTATGCTGTCATTCTTGTCATTAGAAAAAGCAAAAAATGTCATCGAGTCATAGAGGATGAAAAAAATCGAAAAACTAGCAAAGTTTTCAGAGACCAATGCCACATTTCTCTCCCTCTCTAAGAAGTTTAGGGGATGCTGCACCCTCTTCTGGGTATTCCCACTCAATATGGAGGCTTGTCTGGTGGGGGCTGTAAACATGATTGGTGTCCTGCCTGCTTAGCGCATCCATCTGCAGCTTGGTTTTCTCCCCCTATACCATGTCTTGAGGATCCTGCATGTCCCTGCAAACCTCCCTCTCTAGTGTTAACCCTGCAGTGTGTGCCACAGGAAGGATGGACGGGCTTTATCCAGCCATTTCTCTACTGGCAGAATGCTCAAGCAATGCAGCTGAAGCATCCTTGGACATGCTTCTTTGAGCATGTAAGCAATAATTTCTCTAGGGTAGCTACTGAAGACAATTGATGGCCCAAAGAAGCGCATTTTTAAATTTAGATAACTACTGCCTACCCTCTCAAAAGGCTGTATGGATTTATCCTGCCGTCTGTCATGTATGAAAGTGCCCATTTCCCCATGTCTTCCACAACACTGGGTATTATTTCAGTCTTTTTCACTTTGCTAATATTATGATGAATGAAAAATGTGCTTTTCTTTTTCCTTTTTTTTTTTTGTTGAGACAGAGTCTCACTCTGTCGCCCAGGCTGCAGTGCAGTGGCGTGATCTCGGCTCACTACAACCTCCGCCTCCTGGGTTCCAGTGATCTTCCTATCTCAGCCTCCCAAGTAGCTGAGATTACAGGCGCACACCACCACACCCCACTAATTTTTGTATTTTTTAGTAGAGACGGGGTTTCTCCATGTTGGCCAGGCTGGTCTCAAACTCCTGATCTCAGGTGATCTGCCCACCTCAGCCTCCCAAAGTGCTGGGATTACAGGCATGAGCAACCTCGCCAGGCCAAGATATGCTTCTCTTTTATTTTTCTTTTTTTTTTTTTTTTTTTTTTTTTTT